GGGAACGGAAAGAGGGCAGGGAGAGCGGCCGTGTGACCACCTGAGGCCTCCACGGAGCTGCCAGCGGCACCCTTCCGCCTCTCTCCGTCAAGCTGTCTGCATAGGCTGTCCCAGCCCGAGTGCCCCCATTCCACCTGGGCCTACCTAGTCAGTCAAGTTGAACTGGGTAGGCATGGGGGTACCTCAGAATACAAGCCGCTTCTATACCCTCCCCCCCATCAAGTTGCCTGGAAAAACTGTCTTCCTGGTGTGTGCCACATCTGTCACTGCCCTGGTGACAGGGACAGGGCCTGGCTGCTGGCAGGACTCCCCAGGACAGGAGGGAGGGAGCCAGGGTGCGGGCGGGGCAGCAGGCGTGGTTCTGGCTGGGAGGCAAGGCTGGCAATGGTCCAGCCTGAGTGCCGCTACGTGGGACAGGCGCCCAGAACTCGGAACCTGCCACAGCTGGGCTCCCATGGCCACCTTACACCCAGATGGCGAAGGAATGCCTCCAGCCAGGCCCCGGGCCCAGGCAGCCACGCAGACTGGGTCCTCAACTTCAGCAGAGCTGGGCTCTCAGCCCCCTGCAGCACACCCACCCAAAGAAGCCTCCTTGAGGCTTCCGATGTCCCCAACCTGAGCCTGGGCACTCCTTTCGCCCAAAGCCAGGAAGCCGGTTCACAAAGGAAATAAAGGCCAGCGGGCAGGACACTGGGATGGACTTCCTGGGCTGGAAAGTGCTGAACTAGACCTTGCACCGCTGGCCGCTGCCAGCCCAGTGTGGGAGGGGCCGCCAGGTCCCACCTGGCCTGGCCCTAAAGCTGAGCCGGGAGCCGAGGGATAAGGCGGGTAAGATGGGGGACCCCACTCCTACATCACCTCGCCCCCGCGATAACTTGGATGGGCCTGTGGAGGGGCCGGCGGGACGCTCTGGCCGGGCACCGGGAGGCGGTGGTCCCGGAAGTGCCCTCCCCAGGACCGGCGGGAGGCAGGCCCCGGCGGCGATGGGCATTGGCCCTGCCG